GGGAACAGCCTCTGGCCCCAGGGCAGGGGCAGCTGAGGAACAATCGGCCTTCCCTGCCCCGAGTCCTGTTCTTGCTGCAGTGCAGCCAGCAAATCCAGGGCAAGGAGCAGCCCAGGAGAGTCCAGGGAAACCCCTGCAATTCCTGCGGGCTCAACCAACTGTGAGCTTGGAATGAAGTGTGTGGCCCACTTTTCAAATCTGGAGCTCTTTATTTATTGGTCTACAGAAAGCAGTAATGAGATGTTGAAAAGGGATGGAAATTTGCTCAGGGTTTCTTGGTCCCTCCCTGCTAAAAGTGAGAGGGTAATGGGAAAACCATTTCCAGATTTTGCCTTCATGACCAAAGGGACTTGCTGTGAGGTGAGGATTCCTAAGGGGGAATGAGGAAGGAAATATACATGAACAGGAGAGGCCTGAGTGGAGAGCTGCTTCGTGAGATATTGTATCAGAGCCGTTGGACATGCTTGTGTTAGACAGCTGGTCTCCTGCTCAAAGAGTAATCATTAGTTTCTTATTGATGTTATTCTTTCCTCACAGTAAAGAAGGAAATTTTAAGGGCCGTGGAATCCATATTGAAACAGCAGCTTGGGCCACTATCCAAAAAATTTCAAACTCTGGAAGAAGATGTACAGAACTGGCAAGAGACCACAAAGCGTGAGATTCAGCTTCTCAGAGCAGACCTGGAGAAGCAAGGTGAGCAGGGCCATTGCCAAGCAGACTTCCATCCATCTGAGGACAATAGCTGGCCTCCAAGGCAAGCGCCCTGTGAGCTTCTCCTGCTCAGGTTCTTGCAGGGGATGGGGAGGGACAGCCCTTCCATGGGGAGCACCTTCTGTGACCCATGGCACTAACACACCTCCATGCTGAAGTGTTCTCTGCAGGTGCAGGTGGTCAGAGTCCCTCTTCTGTCCCTCAGCTTTGCATGGGCTGTGTGCTGGGAGTTCTATCACTGCCTGATACAGGCTAAGGGTCCCCCTATGAAGTCCTGTCCCTGTCCCTCTCCCTTTCCCCGTTGCCCTCCTGCTGCTGCCCCACTCCTGGTCCCACACTGGGGCACACATGAGCTCAGTCTTGTTTCCCTGTGGATGCTCAGCAGGGAGAGAGCTGCCCTGAGCAGAGGCTGGACCTGTCTGTGAGCGCAGGGCCTGTGGAGAGCAGCTGTGCCTGCAGGAGCTGGTGCTGACAAGGGGAAGGCTCAGCTGTGGCACAGCGTCCAGTGTGG